CTCTCGCTCGCTCTCCCTCTCTCTCTGTCTCGTTTGGCATACCGCGCAGATCGACATGCAGTCTAAGCGTCTTGATCCACACAGAATGCCCGAGGAAGGCGCCGAAATGTCAGCTTTTGCAATTAGTGGCTCAAGGCAGTGGGCTCAACATGGAAGTTTAGGATGACGTGGCAACTACCTGATATATCCTGATATGTTTATAGCTGGAAACATGCCTCCTATCAGAACATCAACTCCATGTGTGCACACGTCTGTATCCATCCTTACGCATCTTGGCATGTAGCGTATAGACGTATAGTTGAAGAGGTGCCTACAGCAGGCGATTGGACAGGTTGTCGTTTGAAGATGCAACGCTGTATAGACGTAATCTGACCACTTATAAACTTGTTCGTTCACACGTTGTGTTCATGCTGTTATACTTTTGAGTGTAGAGTATCCACACAGAGAAATTCTTATTCCGTTGTCGATTTCTGACATCAACCTGCGTCGGCCACAAACCTGGCTTGATGACAATGACAATGACACACCCTATACCGCTCAAGCGTACATGAGTCAAGCAGTACCCCCCCCCCCCCCCCCCCCACTCACCCAGCCCACGCTGTTTCTCCCCGGTAATTTGATTCAGCTGCTTCCAGCGAAGTTTGGCGCATGGAAGGTCGGTCCGTAGTAGTGTCTCAGCCTCAGCTGCGCGTTCACCGAAACTCCAGAACAGGAGACTTTGCACCCTCACTGTAGTTAAGCATGCCTACATCATGTCATGTTGGACCGCAGGTCTGAAGATGGTACCGAGAACGAGGCCCCAACTTAGTCTTGCGACACGTGGCGATGGCTGATGGATGATGGGTGTGTGTGTGTGTGTGTTTTGTGTGACGGGTGACGTTTCCGCATCGTTGTCGTTTCGAGTCCGCAGCAGGTTGTCCGAATAGGATGCAAGTTCGGTTACCCATCGGACTTGTTGGAGCTCGGCGAGGAGCCGTGAAAGAGTAGGGCATCCTCAGCAACGGTGCCTAGCGTGGCGCCGCAGGAAATCGGCAGCGGCGCCGCTGCGAAGGTGCCCTTAACGTGAAGAGCAGCAATTGCAAGCAAGCACAGTGAACCCAACAAACGTCAGGTCTACGTTTGCCGACGGCTTAGGACTGGCGAAGAGCTTGCCGTCAAGGCCATCCACATAGTCAGTCATGACCATTTGTCTTTTCCGAATGGATCTGGAGTGCAAAGATACTTGCTATCCGCTTTGAATGCTGCCTGAGCTGTCGCGTTCAATCCCGCTAGCATCGTAGAACCAGAAAGGAGACTCAGACCCTTTGGGGCCCCTGAAGACTCTGGGCCTGGGGATTGCACGGCAGGTAATCAACCTGGCCAAGCTAATGCTCATGGGTGACTACGAAAGTCACCTGGCCCTCCAGCCATGCTTGACCACGAGCCTGTCCGTGTCCAGCCTCCCAGCATTGCAATCGGGCAGTCGGGCTCGGAAAGCAGGGGCGCTACTTTAAGAGTAGGAAGTACAGATTAGGGGAGCCGCATCACAGAGTCGGCCGCTTTGCCGATGGCAGCCGCCGAAGAGGCAGTGCTCAATGCTGGGTTGATTCGGTGACAGAGTGTGAGTCCTGCTGTTGATGAGAGTTTTGTTGGAGGAGCAGCAAAGCGGGAACGTGGTGCTGTACGTTTCCCGGACACCTTTAAGATGCATTCGTGTCGGCTGTGGACGAGCGAGTCCAACCGCTTGCTATTACAGAAGCAAAGGATAATTACACACACGCACACCGTGTGGAAAGCCGCTGCGACTTCTGCTAGACTGCTTTCATACGCACTTTACTGTTGAATCTGAGGTTGTTGTGGGCATCTACATCGCCCTGCTGATCTGCATTGCGAAAGTCGCGCATGCAAGGAAGCAGAGGGATTCGGCCGCTCTCGGCAAGGTGCCCCGAGACGAGAAGCAAGTTTTGTGGAGGTTGCCCTTGAGTATGAGTATGATTCATTCATTCGATGAACAGGTGAAGGCTCACTTCAGCGGCTCTTATGGTTCTTTCGTTCTGATGCTGACTACCTTCTCTACGGTGTACTCTGGCTTCCCAGCTGAAACATTGCAGCACCGGATGGAAGCCCTCCCCCCATTGCCTTCTCGAGCCAAGGCTTCACGGTCACGGGCATTCCAGATGAGGCCTTTGCCAAGGGCTTCGTGTCCCTGAGATGGATCGGCGCGACCTTGGTGATTGTCGCCGGGATGCTGCTTCTCTATCCCAGGCCAGGCAGAGAAAAGGTCCAGAGTTCGGGTGGAGTGATATATTATATATTATATATTATATATTGGGATCTCTATTTGTATTTGGCTGCCCCGAGTCCGGCCGGAAAGTGTGTAGACATTGCCTCTTACGAATTTCAGAGCCGAAGGAGGCAGGCAGGGGAGATGGCATCAACGTGAATTTCCTTTTTGCAGGCTGAGGTGAGACGCACTGCACGAGAGGAAGCCATGTTACTGCGACCCCAGAGCAGAGCGCTGAACATGAATTACTCTGCTTTTTTCGTGCGAAATGTGTTGTTGGATTGTTGGAGACAATAGACGATGTGAAGGAGCGCCACTAAAGGCAGAGTAGATGCTTTCTCTTGACAGGCTCCGAAGGTTGGCCGTGGAGCGCAGCTATACCAGCCCCTTCGATTTCATCTCTGATCGCTTCGGCACCAAGCGCTTGAGAGTCCTTTGCGCCATTTGTGGAGTGATTCCCATGACTCTGTACATCACTGCTCAAATGATTTCCTTTGCGGCGATGGTGGAGGGAATGACCTTGGGGGTCTTGCCGAAGTGGGTTTGCATGCTGATTTTCGCTGCTATGATACTCATCTTAGAGACTTTGGGTGGCATGAACAGTGTGGTGTTCACCGATGTGGTGCAAAGCATTGTCATGATTGCTGCCTTTCTGACCGTTCCTTTTTTAGTGGGAGCTGAGTGGGGCTTCCTGCCGCAGATGGCCCCTGCCGATTGCCCCTACTTGGTGCATGTGTCGCCCTTCATGCCAGACCCCTACGAAGCGCCGGAGACGGATTGTGTTGGGCCAGGCTGCCTCACCGCGGGCTGCATTGATGCCGTGAAGCCAGAGTTTTATGATTTCCCAGAAAGGTCAACCCTCTGCAGCATCTTGTTTTTCCTCGTTAACATGCTTGCGGCTCCGGTTCAACCCCACATGCTCCAGCGAGCCTACATCGCGCGCAGCGATTTCGACTTGCGCATCGTCATTGGAGCACCTCGGCCGTTGTGCATTTTGGGGGTTCGGGGGTGCTTCATGGTAGGAAGCCCGTAGCTGAAGACGTTAAGTAGGCTTCTGACATGTGCCGTAAAGCTGTGGAGGCCATGCTCCTCGCGCCATTTATTGCCCAGCCCCCTGGCATTGTGATAGGCCTTACGAAAGCAGCCAACGATCCCGCGTGGCCAGCCATCGAGCAAAAAGCCACAGCCTTCTCTGGGCTAACAGCTCAGCTGAGACTTCTGGGCCCTTTTCAATACTTCTTGGTTTCGGTGATGACCTGCTCTGCACTCGCAGCCATCATGTCCACTGCTGATTCTGCCCTGATGGGTGTATCCAGTGTCGTGTCGATCGACATACTGCAGGGAGCTCTAGTGCCCTCAATGTCTACTGAGACCGTGGTACGAGTTGGACTGGTCAGCTCAGTATTCACCTGCGCGGTGGCATTTTTTATGGGTACCTACCTGAGCAGTGACCAAATGGGCGCCATCATCGTCTTCCAGAACGGCATGCTGCTGCAGCTGCTCCCGGCATTTGGGATGGGCCTGTACATGTCAGTGACTGAGCGGGCACTAAGCGCTGGGATCCTCGTAGGCCTCCTGTCCCTGATCCTACTCGTGATCTTCGGGAACCCTTTCGACGAGTATGTGCCTGACATCAATGTGTCCGCCTTCCTGAACTTCCTGACTGTCGGCCTGGATAGCCTGGTGGACATTGTTCTTCCCAGCTCGCGGCGGAAGCAGTTGCTCGAACTCAGCCAAATCCAGGATGTCATGGCCACATCCAAAGAACCGAGCCTCGTCCTGATCCTTCTTATGTTTCTCATAGCTTTGGTTTCAGCGCCATGGTACGGCACGCCAGGAGTGCAGGAGCCCATGTTCTTGGGCATTCCACGCTGGGGTTGTATTCAGCTTGCTTCATTTGTGCTAGTCTTTGGAATTGGTGTTGCTGCAGTTGCTATGTGGCGACCGCCTTCCGGAGCTAAGCCAGAGCAAAGCCCTTGTGCAGTTGATGGTGTGGTAGCAACTTCTCACACCGAAACCCATGTGCCTGAGCCAGTGACGGGCCTCAGCGGAGTGGAAACCATGGAATTCCGCAAGTGAGGAAAGGCCCTTGGTTTTGAAGCTTCTGGTATGATGTTGAAAACGGATTCATTTTACGTGCTATGCAGGTGGATCTTCAAACTGTGCAGCGCAATTGTTCAGGCCCCTAAACTGTTCATGAACTCTTTCCCGCCATGTCTCCTATACACACGTCTCAGATCGATCCCTCGCCGGTCCCCTGTGTATCCATCGGCTAGACCTGATGGTGCGTCGGGCTTGATCGACATGATGTCGGTAGAGAAGACTGCAAAAGGAAGCTGGCATCGAACTGGCGAGACTTCATGCACAAGCATCATTACCCTGGTGTCCCTTCCCTTCGGTTTGATCCGAAACTGTGGGGGAAACGGCTGTAACAGGAAGCTACCGCGCGGAGTGACAAGACGTACATGCACCATCTTAGTCATGTGCCCCTCCCCCTCTACCTGCGGTTCGTCCCTCCAGTCCCAAGATCTGTTTTGCTCTGTGCTGAAGTGCTTCGTTAGTCGTCCTGCACCTTGAACAACCGATGGACTCGAACGGCGTATGGCCCATGTAGCTCGTGCGCCCACATCCGTTTCGGAATCGACTTTCAACCGTTTAAGCATTTGCAAAACGAAATTCAGGGACGGCGCAAATGCAAGCGAGTGGATCAAACTCAACAATTAAGTTTGTCAAGAAAATCGGACGGCTAGACCTCACGAGTCTTCCATCCTTTCCAATCCCGAATTCATGCGTTGCACTCCTGCTGCATACGTCAGCAGATGGTGCGTTTGTTCAGCGAGATTCACGGCGCCATAAGTTAAGAGTGTCCGCTGTGTAAAGGAGGCGCACGCACGAGGCAAAGGCCTGTCAGAGAGAAACAGAGTGACACGCTCTTTGTGCTCCGCACCGCCCCAGCTTTCAGGTTTCAGCCTGGGGTGGAGACACCAGAATCGGCAGCATTCTTGAGGGCCCTTATTGCGCATGTCACCGCCAGGTAAAGATGAACCGTGAGGTGCAGATCCTTCAAGGACTACATCATTCCAGGACTGCTCTGATAGAACGGCTGTTGCAGCCTATGCTGCAGAAGGGAAAGGAGCCTCACAATTGTCAGATTGGCCATGCTTCAAAAGGATCGTCAACCTCCACGATGTACACAGAACGAAGCAATGGGTGTTTTTAGCCGCTGACCTCAGTCCGAACATGTCCGGCTATGCTCACTCACATGCGTCAATTGCGAGGTCATGGAACTGGTCAGGGGCGGTGAGCTTTTTGACGCAATTGTGAGCAGCAAGCTCGCCCCTGAGTGAAGTGCTGGATGCTTGCTGACTAGCTCAAGGAGCTGTTTGAGTTTGTCAGAGAGGGCACGTTCTTGTTGTCGCTCACTTGTGCGTCTGAGGACACTCAACGAAGTTGAGGCCAAGTACATCTTCCGCCAACTGCTGGAGGGCAGAGCCTGCACGTCTTGTGAAGACTTTTGAGGGCCAACTCCACTGATGTGACAATCGCATCCCCATGCCAGGTGTGGGCTACATGCACTCCAAGAACGTCATCCATCGAGACCTGAAGTTCGCTCCCGCAGTCCTTGGATCTGCAGAAGCCCCAAAACATCGCAGACCGCTCCGTTGAGGCCTGAGAACATTTTGATCGGCTCGAGCATGGAGCTGCCTCCCCCCCTGCACGGCGCCCGGATGGCCCGGATGGGCCCGGGCTCGGAGTCGCTTCCTTCAGCGCCTCGGGCTTCGCTGCAGGACGGGAACCTTGCGAGAGGTGAAGATTGCGGACTTCGGCCTCTCCAAGATCATCAACGAGGCTCCTTCGGTCCTTCGCCTTCGCCTCGCTTCCGGTTGAGGCCACTGAGTCCTGTCAGGGCTCGTCTCTCGCAAAGACCTTTGTCGGGACACCCCAGTATTGGGCACCCGAGGTGAAGAGCTCAGAATCAAGAGCCTGCTGCTTGAAGTGTTGAGGGAGTCGTGTTCTGCTTTTTCTGAGGTCTTGAACGTGCAGAGGGGAGGCGGGGTCTACACACAAGCAGCTGACTTCTGGAGGCAGGTGCTTTCTGGTCCTGGGGAACATGTTTCCAAACTTCGCGTTGTGAGTTTGGGTGCCGTCCTCTTCGTGATGTTGGGTGGCCGCTACCCGTTTGACGGGAAGGCAATGCCACTGGAGGCCGCGTTAACATGAGGGGTAGAGGTTTGCCGTTGCGAGGGCATTTGATTGACGGTCCTGGGCTTCCCTCACTTGCAGAGATTCAGAGATCGTGTGCTGTGCAGGAGCAGATCCGAACTGCCAGCTACAGTAGCTCGGCATGGCAGCCTGACAGCTGGGCACCAGTGGCTGGTGCTAGTATGCTCAGGCATGACTTCGCCGGCTTGGCAGCGGGTGTCTGAGGAAGCGAAGGCCAGGGGAGATTGCAGCAAGCCTGGGGCTAGGATGATCGAGTGAGCCTGACGGATCCTGACAGGACATGGTCCGAGGTTTGCTGAAGGTCAACCCGAACGACAGGCTCAAACTGGAGGAGCATGCCCCGAACGCACTATCAGGTTTATCTCGCCTGGTTTCATCAACTCTGAGCAGGACTGCATAGTTCATCCTTGGATGGGAGGAGGCCTAGGATGTCTTGGCCCTGTCACTTTGAAGGAATATGCATCATGCTTCCAGTGGGTCAGGCGGTATGCCACCAGCGTTGGACTTACCAAAGGTGCTCGGCCAAGAGGGCTAGGCATTGGTACTCCTTTGCCGCCGACCTGCTTTAGTGGGTACGGTTCCAGGAAGGGCTGCAGATGCCCAAAGAGCTCTTTGCAGAGGTACTTGACCAGCTTGACAACTGACCTAATGCATCACGAAACATACTGTCCATGCTCCCATCCTGTCGCAGGCTCCTGCAGCTCCTGTGCCTATCGTCCTGTTCTTACGCGTCTTGCGCAAGATAGCTGGAGGCGCTGCTAAATTGAGTATCTTGCATCCGAGGTCACTCATCCACCCTCAACAAGCGATCTTTCAGCAAGATCGGTGTGCCTGTCCCTGCTTGGAAGATGGTTGGCTCGCTTTGCATCATCGCTTTGAGTCCCATTCCGGCTGATACAGACATATGATTAGTTAGATGAAATGGCAGCTGCAAGCACAACCTTAAACAGGCTAGAAAGGGCCGATGGGTTTCAAAATGTTTCAAATATTACCAAGTACGTTGCGGGGTGTCGCCCAGATTTCTGTGCAAGATGAGCAAGAATAAATCCAGATGGCTGGCGGGCCTTCTCGTCGCATGTCTTTACTTCTGGACACTGCGGCAAATGCCCAGCTTTCTCAGTTTTCTACATGGGATCCGCAGCAACTCGAAAGTACAGACCGACATCTCCCGACGGATTCTGGGTGTGTCTGCATGGCTTTATTCAGGTCCTGCTGTAGCTGCCCCCACAGCCGACGTCGGCCCGACATTTCGAAGCCTGAAGAAGGCACCCGAGCTTCCGGTCGCTACAGCTGTGATCTTGCTAAGAACGACCCAGGAGGCGGCACTGGACTGGGGAGGGCCATTCGGGAAGCCCGGCTTGTACCAGACCAACTTCAACAAGAAGCGCAGCGAAAGTTTTCCTGCCTTCAAGGAGCGATTTGCTACCTACGACCTTTCGGGGCTCTTCAACCAGTCGCAACTGCTTGAGAAAGATCCGCGGTCCAACCGTCTCTACTTCTCCTTCCTCAACGAGGTGCAGTTTCGAACTCTGCAAGATGGGATCAAGAGACGAGAGGAGCAGGACCGCTTCGGCCTGAACGTCGGCGCACGTTTGTACCGGAAAATCATTTCTGGCGATGTTGTCGGACCCCGGATAATCCAAGGGGACGAATACGATCCCAAGGCTCCTGTAAACATGTCCTCGCCCCTTTCGGGGGCATGGCCAGCACTGCAGCCACCACTCACACAAGGAAGGTCCGCAGGCGATCTGGCAGCAGGCACGCGCCGCTTGCTGGACTATTTGCGCGGGCAAGGCTACTGCAAGGACTTCAGTCTGTCCGAGCTTGATTTGGCCACAGACGGGAGGATTACCTTCTCGTCCTTCGTTAAGGAACCAGCAAACCTGGAAGCAACTTCAACGCTGCTGCGCAGCCGCGGCTTTCCGCCACGATTTGACCAGCGCATTCTGCAGGCCTATTTTCTGGATCGCGGCTACGAAAGTGAATTGGAGGACGATTTGAGCAGCGGTCTCGATGGGAACGGCAAAGGAACCGCGTCCGGTGTTCGAACGAAGTGGGTGCTGACGCCAGATGCAGACGCAAGTTTGGAGTGAAGTTGCTTGGGCTTGCGATCCCTTAAGATTCAGTGACGCCAGCAGCTCGTCAGCCCAGAAAAGGTGCAACTTACTGCCTCTCGAAGCGGGTCGAAAGCTGTCCCACATCTCGCTTTATTTCAGGCTGTGAATCTGCCAGGACAGCTGGGGCAGCCGTCCCAAGGAGAAGGCCAAGAGCGGCAGCTCCGCCAAGGACGCTCCGCGCTGCAAAGTGTGTCCTCTGAGTGTCCTCTGGATTCCTCTGACCAGGCGGCTGCAACGCCTGCCTCCGATGCATCAGCGTCCGCGCAGTTTCCCGTGCTCGGGGCCGCTGCCTCAGTTCGCAGTTCGTGCTGCCAATGCCAGCCTCTGAGCACAGGTTCCAATGGTCAGCGTAAATGCAGAACCAGAGCAGGATGAGGTGCCATGAACGGTGATCGTGTCAGCAGTGTGTGGAATCGCACCTGGGAAATTGAAAGGAGCTCATCTTTTGTCTGAACGAGCTTCTTAAGCTTCAGGCAGGTCGAACTCCTTTTGAAGAGCTCTTGTTCATCCCGATCGAAAGCCGATCGCTTTCGGCACGCAGAGGTGTCCATCTCCAGCTCCCTGGAAGTGGCCTGCCTGGCTTTCCGGCATGCGGACCGGGAGCTGTGAGCATGAAGGTTTCACTCCGCCAGCATCCAGGTCCCAGGTGATGCTTGTGTCGATGTCACCCTGGTTGACATTGGTCATCAGCACAAGTTGTTCTGGGAGGACAGAGACTTGGCCGACAACATCCGCCGGGCCTTTAACGAGGCCTTGGCACATGGCGCACGCTCTCAGTTTGCGATCGGAAGCTTTGCAGATGTTTGAGGCGAACCAGCTTTCTCAGACAGCTGCTGCAGCGGTCTCAAACTATGCCCAGGTAGCCCAGCAGGCCGTCAATTGTGAGCTAGTTTTGCAGTGTGATGCGAACAGTCAGGTATTTCGGGAAAGTATATTCGCCATCTGCCTCCAGCCACCCTACACCTGCAACGCAAGCAGTTGCTGGCCGGGACATTTGCAACTGCGAATGCCTTGGCCTGCAAACCCAACACTTAGACTCAGACAACAGAAGGGTATGTTGGCTGAAACATCGGACACACGAGATCTTGGAGCAAAACTTACCTCGCCGGGACATATTCTCGGACTAGACTTGCAGGGGGCTGACTCCGGGAAGCGTGGCAGGGGTTCAACTCTCGCGAAAGTAATTTGTTCGAAACCCGCTTTGATTCGACATGGTTTGGCTGCAGGAGAACGTCTTTGTTTCGTTGATCTGTGACTGCTGACGCAGGAGGGGACTTCTCGGTATTCGGAATCGTGCGTATGACGCTGCTGCTGATGCTGCTGCCAGCTCGAAAAGATGGGGAGTGGGAAGGCTCGACGGCTTAAGATAGACGTGATGCTGGCCCGGATGTCCGGCAAGTGCGCGGATGCCACCAGCCTGGAACCCATGATTGTACAGCCGTTTTTCTCCGGCTGAATGCTACATTGGACATTTGTGTTGAGTTGTAAGCAGAAAGCTGCAGAGCTTTCCAATTGAACAGTTCATGCAGAGACCTACTGGCAGAAGGGCTTGCGGAAGACCACAAGCTTCCACGAGTGGGCACTTGTACGTAGTGTGACATGAATCACAGGTGAGTCGCAATGTTCTTCCTGACCTGAAGCTGGCCATTCAGGAGCTCAGAAACTCACTTTTCTCATTCTCTGCATTTTGTGCACATTCCGCCACGCCTCATAACGGTGATGCACAGCATGTGCCCCTCAGGAGAAGGAGCCGAATCTGGCCGTGAGCCTGCAGCGCGCTTAGTGACTGTTCGACCGATATTTCTTTTGGGACCACGCAAATCTTACAAGTAGTTACCTTGCATGAGGCTTGGCATTGTCAAGGAGTGGGTCTCGAACATGAAGAAGGACAGTGTTTGAGAATGTTGGCTGAGCGCGATGGCACAGTTCTTGGCAGACTGAAAACAGGACGGTGAGCAGATACAGCAGCAGTACAGCTTTCTGCAGCAGGAGCTGGGATGCTGATGTCGCTAATTACAGGGTTTTTGCCTGTGCCGACCTCTGAAAATAACGGTCTTTGTCCTGCCAGTCGGTGCAAACCATCATTCTTACCGCTCAACGAGCGAAGAGTGGCTCGGACATGTTTGGGATAGGCAAATGTGGCGCAATTGAAGAGGTATGCCGGGCTTGCAGTCTGCAGAAGTGCAAAGCCCGCGAGGCAACGCTGACAGGCGGCTTGCTGCATCATTGCAGGAGCAGGACGGGACGGAGCGAGAGCCCAGAGATCTTGTTCTGCGAATTTCTTGGAAACACAGGTCGCCGACTTCGACGGCGAACCATTGCCTGGCGGAGTCGCTCTTCCTCTCGACGGCCTGCGCTTCCCAAGCAGAAAATGCCTAAATGCAACTTGCAAGAGATTCCAGAGGAGTTCGCGAGGAGAAGAGAACTAGCGGAGGCCCCTGGATGAGTCTTGCAGAGATGTCCGGTGGGTTCCGACGGAGCAGGGGAGGGAGAAACACTCGAAACTTGCATGCAGTGTCTTGAGCTCGGCCAGTTCTGGGCGACGAGACTGTCGGCCAACAGCCTCCTGAAGTCATCATGGCCGGAGGCGTCAAAGCTTGGCTTCTTTTGCCGTGCCTTGCGCTTCGAAGACGCAGGCAGCTCCATACCGCAGTCCTTCGCACCTGCAGCTTCTCCAGCGAGCGGTGTGGGACCCAATCGGCCTGCCGTCAGGCTTGACACGCGATTTCAGAGAGGGTCTAACACAAATGTCGACAGGTGACAGTGCTCCGACAACCTTGAGCGTGCCGCTACTTGGAAAAAAAGTTACGATCTACGAATGGGAGTTGCAGACGGATCGATTTTTTCCAGGCCGTCGGTCCGGCCTGTGTTCCCGAATCTATCTCAAAACAAACCCGTACTCGTATTGGCCTGCAGCCCCCCCCTCTCTCCATGTACCTGTGATGACCTCAGGTTCAGCATGAACGTCTGGACGAGGCCTGACCTCTCGGAAATCAACCTGAAATCAAACCAACAACCACCCACCGCGTCCCGTCGGTTTCATAAGGCATCTCTTTGACCAGCTCTCCGCCTTGCCCGAGGAAGGGCCGGGCCGGGGGCCAAGCTGCGACCGTCCATAGCTGCCATAACTGGTCCCTAAACCCTAAACCCTAAACCGTGTCCTGTCCCTTAAGGCAAAAGGCCGGGTCGCGCAGGACTCCGGTAGACGGTGGGCAGATAGGCCGAGACATGCTGAAGCTCAAGTGCAAGTGCCTGAATACCATGCCTGATCACATCAAGCAAAATCGGGGGTTCGGAGGAGGACCTGGTCTTTGAGGTTTGAGCAGACACCATCAAAGACCCAGAGCTTCTCGAGCTCGGCTAAGAGGGCCGTACCAGCCAGGATTCGGCGATGCCAGCCCGCCGCTGGCAGACAACCTGCAGGTCAGCACCGCGGCGTTTTTGTTGCTTCCAGCGGCGGTGTCTTGTTTTTCGCACTCTCCGTATCCTTTTCGCATTTGATCTATAGGAATGGAAGTCGGACGTGCTGGACTTGTTGTTCATGGCAGGATGCCCAACTCCAAGGAGGTTGCACGGCATAGGAGTTGCCAAGCCCTGAGGCACCAGGTGTGGGGCGAAACACGCTGCCGAAACCTGCTCCTTTTCAGCCTCCTCAGGCAGGCTTACCTTTCAATTGCCAGTTCCACAACTCGACAATGACGTGTGCTGCTCGCTGGAACCCGCAGGCTTTGCCACGAGTGGACTCTTCTCATGAGGTCACTCTCTTGGGTCCGATTCTCCAACCCCAGCCTGCAGATCCGGGTGTAAATTCGAGTCAGGGATCTAATCAGCCGAGGCTGACCAGAGCCTGGCGTCAAGTCGATCGAGAGGTGTATCTGGCAGAGGTTGAATTCCATGCTTTCTCTTTCGATTCGGTTCGGTCGCAGGTCATGCTGAGGCTGAGAGCTCCGTCGAGGCACATCGTGCTGAACGCTTTCATTACGTACTCGCATAAAGGAGTACGGGTATATATGGTTGCGCCCCGGCGGGCCCCCCCCTCCCCCCTTCCCCCCCCATGGTTCAGTTTGTATACAATTATATACGCAGGCATAACGATACATGTTTCCCCCCACCCCCCCTGTGGAACGGGACATCCTTCCTTCTCCTGCGGCCCTCGGTCTGCGGTTCTTCTGCATCCGTGTGTGTGGTCCAGCTGGAAGGAGAACCGGATTGGGCTTCGCTTTCTTCTGCCTCTGGAACAGTGTGTGCTGCCCTGTTAAGGAAGTGGTATGATCCCGTGAACTTCGTTTGAAATGGATCACACGGGCACAAACCCACACACGCACGTGCGCCTGTGTAAGTATGGCCCCGGTGTATAGATACACACACAACCACATACATACAAACCGCACACACATGTGACTGTGTATGTATGGCCCGGTCTAGACATACACCTAAGCACGTGCATACGTACATGGACCACAACACACAGACACACACACTTTTATGGCCCTGTGATTCTCCATCCGTATTCTCCATCCGTGTGTGTGGTCCAGATGAGGAAGGAGAACCCCCGCCCCCCCTGTGGAACAGGACTGGGTTTCCTCTTCTTCTGCCTCTGGAACCGTGTGTGCTGTCCTGCTGAGGGCACACACACACACACACACACATACACGCACACTTGTGGCCCACTTTTACTCCGTGGAACGAGTGCGGTTCTCTTTTCGTATGTGTTGTCCTGACAAGGAAGTGCTATATGTCCTTGTCCCCGTGTGGGGGTGCTGCCTTGCGTGTCCTCTTCTCTACTTCGTTTCCCCTTTGTGCCACGAACGGGACAACCCGCTTCCGCGAATCTGTGCTTCGGCATCTGTGTGCTCCAGGTGGTGGTCCAAGCCCTTGTATTTGAGAC